CTCAGACGTTTACCACTTCGGTGAAACCCATGAGCACGGATATGGTGCTGACAAACCTAGAAACATAATCGGGGCGAACCGGGATTTGAACCCACAATCATAGGTTTTGGCATGCCCAAGGGATGCAACTCTGCACAGCAAATCGCGGACCTTAGACGACTGGGTCACCCGTGCCCCGACTCATTCATTGTGCTTCAGTATAGGTAAACCGGTCATCATCTTCATTTCAAAGCAGGCTTTTGCTGATTTACTACAAAGTGCTGTATTTAAAAAAAGGAAAATGTTATAAAACTGACCTACCTACCCTTCGGTTTGAGCTGAAATAGGAGACACATTTTTTGGCCCAACAAAGCCTTCTCCAACACTAGCTGTACAGTAACTGAATACTACCTCAGAATGCATCTTGATCAATCTGACACCACATTTTTGAAGTTGTGGAAGAGATGAGATGAAGGCCATATAACTGGTTTATAAATTCCGATATATCTGAAATGTTTGTTTTGGAACAATATTATTGCTGTTGATTCCACCCACAACTGCAGGTAGTTAATGCTGATTGATGTCAGACAACTGAAGAGCAAGTTAGATTATGTTATCTAAGTTTCAGAAACAACCAAGTCATTGTTCTCACAGATGCTATCACTAGTTTTCTGGAAGATATTATCTCAACTGAAGACAGACGGTCAGTCTTAGATTACAAGTCTGTTTGGGAAAATGAACAACGACTAAATAATGAGGATGTATTTAGATGTTTACTTTTTCACCATTTCATCGTAAACATGGTGTCAACACCATGCCTCTGCTTAAAGAGAAACCATCTTGCAGAAGAGCAAAGTCTTTTCAGGAAAATAATTTTTGCTATTTTAAAACGTCTTGTACATGTTGTTATAACCAAAATGCATTTTTGGCTCACAAACTGTTAAAATCGTGATTGTGTCTTTCAAAGAAATCATGTAAAAGGATATCAGTTTCTACTTTTAGATCTGTATATACCTTTTTAAAGAGAAATTGTTTGAGAAATAGTTTGTTAAAGACAAAACATGTATGCCATTTCCGTTCCCACTTGAATCTCTCTGTTGAGTTATTTGTTTCATGTGAAGAAAATAGGTTCTGAATGTACTCATGACGACGAGCCCTGGTACATGTGTAAATGTCCTACTCAGTGTCTCACACTGTTGGTGTCACAAGCATACATGATGGCGGCAGTGGTAATCATGTCCACAGATACAACATGTTAGTCAGAAGTGCTTGATGAACATCACAGGCTTTTCTCTGATGGCACCAGTGGCCCAATTACTTGTCTCTCGTCAGGTTTCATGGCATTGTAAGTCACCTTTGTCAAAGCTGAATGAAAAACTATAATCTTGTTCACACCACTCATACCACTCATGTCCAAATATGTTGCCAGTTCTTGCATTGGTAACCTTGTTGTCAAACTATGTCTACTTGTAAACTCCTACTGTTTTCCTTTCTGATGGTACCAATTTTAACCTTGTTCGTCCTTGCCCTTGTTGTTTGTTGATTAACGCTGCACTCAGCAATATTCCAGCAAGATGATGGCACTCTGTAAATCGAGACAATCCAGTGACTGCCATTATGAGCATTTATCTACGCAATTAGCATGACATGCATCTACCAATTCTGCAAGCCTGACCACCTGATCCTGTTGGTTGCCTCTTATGACAAGCATAGTCAGCTTTTATGGCAAGCATGGGTTGCTAAAGACCTATTCTTATTGCCCAATAATGGTGTCATGATTGTTATAGGAAAGTCTTGCATCTTGTGGCACCATTGTAACCTTACTTCTTGTCTGTGTAAAATAATACTGTCAAACATCTTGTTAACCAGGGTAGACGCCACTGGTCATGTCCAACTAATCCACGGAAAATTTCTGACCATGGTACATCACAAAACAATAGTCACAAGTCTCGGACTAACGGTTGTGTCTGTCACACTAAACACTATAACTTTCAAATGGCAGCAGCACTGGTAACATTGACAGCAGGTATAATACTATCAGTCCTACCTGCCCAACAGTAAGTCTCATCTTCCTTACATTACATGTTACTGGCACAAATGTGTTCAAATAAAAAATTGGAATCTCGGTAATCTATTTTACAGTGGACTAATAGCACTATTGGCTAGACATTCAAGTAGTTGGTGTTTCCAAAACCTCAAGGGGATCCATGTTGTCTCCCAAAGCAAGTCTGATAATGTTTCCGACATCGGTACAGCTCCACATAAAGAACAATGTCTACAAAATAACCCACCTCCTGATGATATCATTGTCAATCCCCACATTTCACTGTGCTATTCTGTCTGATTATGTTACACAACTCACAAGAACACTACAAAAGCAAGATATCATAATAGAAATTATTATACGAGTATGTGTGTCATACTGATTTTACAAAACGAGAGTCAGAATTCTTGTATTTCTTGTATTTCCCGAGCGAGATATGTATTTTGCGATAAATAGAACTTATCTTATCTTATGTTATTTTATCTTACAAAAGCAAGATAGCATATCAATATGTTTTAAGAATTGTTTCAAATATTGATGAACACCAACTCATCTAAAGTCCCAACTGTTGTCATTTTTACAAAGTGTCTTGAGGAACATATTTTTTTACAATTTAGTCTGTGGGAATAATATTAAATATTACAACGCCCTCCAAAGATATCAAGGAACTGATATTTAACATTACTCCCCATCAAATGCCATGTAATACTCATAATGATTGAAGAGTTTTGTTTCAGATCATTTGTAATAACATAGCCTTGACTGTCACCCTTATTCACTTTTTGAACACATGCTTCAAGCATAGCATTAACATAGGTAGCTGTCCAGGTGGAATTTCTTTATTACAATGTTTGGTTTTGCAGTCAATTATCTCCTCCAGGTAGTCAGTAGAACCAAGACAAGGTGATGATGTTGTATATATCCAATGGCTTCTTAGTTATCTTATCACATGTTAACAAGCCTGTGATAGGCATTAATGCAATAAGTGCCACTGAACGGAGCATAAGTGAGCATTAACGACACAAACAAAAGATTATGTGGAACACCCACGTTGATGTCGGTACCCATGTGCATGCCAGACTTGGCCAAAAACATTGCTGCAATTATTAGCATTGCATGTTCATAGATACATGCTCTCTGCTTAAAACCCAAGTCACGCCTGTAGTTAATATTGACTTTTCAATTTACTTGTCTGGGAATTAGCTGAAACATGATTTTGTCTTGATGATATCGATTTTTAATAACTGATTATTTGCCACTTTTCCTTTTTTTTAAATATATTTTTTTGTATGAAAACAGTCAGTAGGTAAAAAATATAAAATGTCAGTGTATAACCAGTCTTTTTTTATCCTACCAAACAGATTCCATTGGGCGTCAAAGGCAAAATAGTAGTATAAATTATATGAATGGATCGTTGAAAATGAGTGATGACACCAGGTGTTCACGAAAAGGGATGAAATGAGTATGTCTCTTGTCCATATGTGTCTTTTACTAGTCAAGAAGAATTTCAATGTGAGTTTGAAATGTTTGATAATTAAGATAATATATTTATACAGATCAAAACACTTTGGCTTGGCGTATTAACTGATTTTTGTGGCTTCATTTCCTTAATAAGACATTTTTTTAAAATCTTATGAATTTATTAAGATTGCAGGAAAAGTACTTGTGGACATTTAAAGGCGATAATAAATGAAGAAACAGCAAAGTTAAGGTTGTGTTACATTAGCAGTTACAGCACGTCATTGCCAGAGAATTATCAATCTTGTTTATCGTTGGGAATGAAAGGCAAAATAGAGGACAAAATGATATGAATGGATCACTGAAAATTAGTGATGACAACAGAATCCAGAGAAATTAACCAAGGAAAAATCCTTTGCATGTGATTAAAATTTGCCTGCATGTTCTCGCCATCATAACAGTGTTTCTTTCACAATATCTCTCAAAACAGGAACTGGAAAAATTTACACCAATTTTGAGATTTCAATGTTGCAATGAATAGACTTGTTAAGATTTGATCTGGTGATAAACATACACTTTTGTCTCTTTTACGGATACCTTCTTTAAGACCGATAACCATGAAGCATAACAAGCATGGAGGAAAGGAGGATATTATACACAAATTATGAGCATACAGAGCATGATGCTAATATGGTCAACATTACACTGATAACTGATTTCTACAAAAGAAAGAAAGTTCACATTTGGAAATTGGATTTGACCAAAACATTACAAATTATACTTGGCTGAAGACAGTCACTGAATCACTGCAAACTTAAGGTCCAAAACACAACTATGATACTCATTGAATACCCATTTGTTGTTTGCTTCCTTTTTAGCCACCATCAAACATGGGTGTATACTTTCTTTTGCCCAGCTGTTAATCAGAACAATCTGAAATATCCGTATTCAGTCACAAGGTTTTAATGTTAAAGATTTCTAAAACTTTTGTCTTACTTTGTATGTGGGAAAAAGACTTCAGAATCGCTTCAGGTAACAAATTTAAAAAAAACCTCAATATTTTCATATCCTGCACGCTAGACATGCTTGCCTTCAAGATAATATTAATCGAGAATAACAGTTCAACCCTTCAAGGCAGCTATAAAAGCTGATACAATATACATAATTCATAATACTTAACCAAACAACTCACTTCTAAAAGACCCAAAACAACTTTAATTTTAAAATTTTAGTTGATCTCAATTTTACTTACTTAGTCTATATTAGTTTAATTTATTGTTAAACAAATGCTTTTTTCACTTTAAACAGAAAATCAAAATATGGTTACGATAGGACTTTTACACACAAGGTAATGAATAAATGAAATTTACCGACAAAAATATCCTAATGGATGCAACATTTTCCATAACAAATCTTTCTTTAAAGGGGCCTGTTTTCCATCAATGAAGTATTATAATAGAAGGTTGTGTTCCATTACAAGTCTGAAGCAAAGGCTGCATGGGACATTTGCGATACATACCTAATGGCAGGTGAATGTCAGACATTAATCCATTGTACTCCTGATCAATCCATCGTGAGAGAGGAAAGAAAGATATTATGGGTGGTCCATGTGCCTGAGTCACACTTGTAGACTTGGAAGGCGGTCGGAATTAGTGGCAGATAGTGTATGTGTTGTTGGTATACCAACTCCGAGTATAGTTGTATCCTTGATGAATTAGAGTAACACTTGATGATTTCACCACACTTGTACAGATTGTCAATCAAGACCTGACAAACTGGGCATTTGCTCCTTCAAAATGGGGATTTTTCTCACTTGAAATCTTCAGTTGTGTTTTTTCTTGAACTAAAGGTATGATATATATGATGTATTGCTGATAATGTTCTGGTTAACTGTTTGTCATCTGTGCTGCAAACTGTCGGAATGTGGTAAGTAGTCATGAAATTGAGTTTTCACTCAAATCTCCAAATTTTTCAGACAAACTGATAGCTCTTACATAGATCTCAATTCTTCAAAACCTATTATGTATTTGTGTCTATGGTAAATTCACGGCGATATATCTGCAGATATGCATGCAGAAGCAATAACTTCTTCAGAAGTAAGAACTAGGCAGCAAAATGTTGTACCGTATCTGCAGGATTGAGTTTGCTTTTACCGCCGTCAACTCCTGTCATTCCCTTTTCACATTGCGAAGAGGAGACACTATCCACAGAAATCCTAAAATGCAGCAAAACTGCAATCCATGAAATCGCGGTCAACTTCTAACATCACAGAAACAATACGGTATCCAGAAATCACACCGAAACCATCACAGCTTCCATCGCACTTTCAGGTGAAAAACCTTGTTGTAAGCGTGCAATTCAGATCTACAAACACCATTTGGATAATCATACAGAATATACAGATCACATAATCCACCAAAATCACAACAAAGAGTAGAAAACTCCACAAAAAGGAGGGAAAAGCACACAGTGTGTGTGCATCCACATGCTAGAACTCAATGGAGTTACACACTGAGTGAATGGTGTGCTAACTTTTGGGGGGCCGAGCTTGCTTATACCACCCAAGTGAAAATTGCCTGTACCTTGTCCTGAGCTGACAGACGGCCACGGAATCTGATCTATCCAACTCGCTGTATCAGTGGGCAAACCTTGCTCTCTCAACCAATCACAAGTTATCACAAACATAGAATAAGTTGTATTTTACGCTGAGGGACCACCCACCTCACACAAACAAATAGGGTCGTGTTGTCAACACTCGAACAGCCCAGGGTTGGTAGCTGACTTTTCAAACCCTGTTCTTTTGCTCACAGATGCATCATGTTGAGGAACATCAGAGCAGCACTCTATAGGTTTGTCACAGTGATAATAAGCTGGGTAAGGTCAATAGACTGAGAGGATACCACCCCCATATAACACCCATGGTGGGATTACACCCCGTACGACTAGGTCCCGTCTATACTTCTAGTTCATCTTTGTATGCTCTCCTGATATGACACTGTTGTGAATGAAATGAAGTGGGGTTAGAGAATATTATACAAATTAAATGAGATAAGTTGTACAGAGAGCATGCTTGTGAATAGTACTTGACAGAATTGAGGTAAATTTGCCAACAGAGGCTTGCGAAATCTTTATTACTTTGGGTGTTCTCTAGCTGATTATGCATGTCACTTTCAATTAGATCTCACTTAAAGGGACTGTAGGTTGAGCCCCTGTAGGGCTGAGAAATGAAAGAATACTATCTCGGTATGTGAAGAATATAAAGACAGTGTTGTATTTGAATCTTTTCACAAGTTTCAGTTACTGTAGCTCTTATTGGGTGTGTGAACATCAAACAAACCATATTAATTATACGATATGTCATAACAGACGTATATGTTAATCAGTTCCACCTTCAATTTGATTGAATTTGAAGACGACAACCACAGGGTAATGAGATAGGTCAAGGTCCTGAATTATTACAGGTCATCGACAAAACAAATCCCATCTTAGGGATGATTTTTCATTTTCATTTTAAAAGATTTAAAAAAGTTTATAGAAAATATGTGAAACGCACATAGGGGATCATGAAAAAAACCTTTGACAAGCATTTGTTGGAGTAGACACCCCACATTACATCCATTGGGGATTCATGTTTGTTTTGTACAGTCATAGACAAGAACTTCTCCCCAACCACACTCATAATAACAGTCCCAAAGAACACAGGTTTAGACCATTAAGTCAATGTTAATGTCTTAAATAATGCCTCGTGAGAGTTATGTCCCTTGATGTGCAACAAACAGTTCTGCATCAAGCCCTCATTTGTGGTCAACCATTAATGCCGTGGAGCTTGTACCTGGCCCATTATATGGCTGTTGTGTCTAGCTAGTCCATTACACAAGTGTCTAGAACCACAGTAATAAAGGTTTGCATGACTAATCAAAGTAGTTACTTCTGATATATCTAAATATTAGGAAGGGCAAACATGATTCGGATACGCCTTCTTTCACTTGGTTTATACATTAATTCCTGAAAAATGGGCTTATACAGTTAAATATTTTTCTTGTATGAAATGTTTGAAAGAATGTGATATAAAACCTCTTTAACCCTGGGCCTTAAATCAAGTTATCCACATGTAGCAGAGTGTGGAGTCATCCCATAGATGACAGACAGCCTTATACCTTGTCAGCTTGGTGATGGGGTTTACCTCTTTAGTCATGTGGACAAGGTTTTTGGATCAGAAGCTCTGTGGTTCGAATCCTATGTACAGAGTGGCGATCATAGTGCATCATAGTAATGACCTTACAATTACTGTACTTGCCACAATAAATGCCCTGGTTCTTTGACGATTGACATGGTTGGGATGGAGGGCACTTAGTAATACCATACACAAAGTGCTTTTGTTTTCAGAGATCGAGCAGCAGTGAACAAATTTAGTTTAAACATCTGTCAAACTAAAAAAAATGGATAATAGTTACTAGGCAATAATATACCCAATGATGCTGTTTCCAAACAACAGTCTTTCATATACATGAGTGAGTGAGTGAGTTAGTGAGTTAGTATGGTTTTATGCTGCTTTTAGCAAAATTCCGGCAATATCACGACAGGGGCACCAGAAATGGTCATATGCATAAGAAAATGTAGTGGGAGCTTATGGTTTTGTATAATACATAATCAAAAAGAGAAATAAAGTTTCTCTAAATGGATAGATGTATTGACAATTGTTTTAGCATTTAGACAATTTCTAAATATTCTTAGATACGTCAGGTTGATGTGATGATCTGAAAAAATAGAATTCTCCTCCTGACTTACATGAGGCTAAGTCATGAGCTTTCAGTGATTGTACATACATGTATTACTACTTGAAGATATACATTACCGGCAGAAATAGCACATCTGTATTATCTTACATTGATGCGATTTCAAGATCTAGACATATTTACAATTTATCAATGCTTAAAACTTATATATTCAATTTCAGTATTTGCAGCCACTGACTGATGAGTTTTGTTTGGAAATCTATTTGTTCACCGGTAGTTCTAATTTTTTGATTAAAAAAATAAGTTTTATTTGTTTTCTTCTTATGTACATATCAATTAACAACTTAAAATCTATTTATTCAGATTTATTGAACATAATTATTAATGACAAACTGTTTGTTGAAGGATCAACAGATGCACAGTGTTGCTTTCAACATATGAAACTGCAGAAAATATTTACCATGGCTGTTTTCCGACAATACTGAAAGTATGTTTCAACAAATTTCAGGTAGACACGAATGCATGGTTGTGAAAATGGTGGATTTCACCAGCTATAGATCAATCAATGTTTGTCTGGGCCCTCTGGTGGCACTGCTACAATCTGGATTGGAGAAGCGGATTGTGGGTCATCGGTAATTGTACTTGCCGAGACGGATGAACTTTCCTCCAACTATAAATACCTCTTGCCAGAATGGAAATCTTAATACACTGTAGCTCCAGAACGTGAAAACATCAAATTATCGTTAATGGACAATCAGTTATCAGCTAAGCTTTATCATTTCTTTGAAATCTAAAAGCACAAAATCTCTTGAAAGGAAGTACTTAAACAGAAACCTTTACACAACTGCAAATTGCTCCTGTATTTAATGTATATCAAATTAACTCACATTTTGAAACAATTACAGGAATAAACAATTATGCCTAGAAAGATTTGGTGGGTCTGGCAAAACAGCTCTTGACTTGACATCACAATAACATGTGCATATGTGTAATATGCCAAAACACACCTCAAAGCGTGCTCAAATTGCTGTATCATGACCTCAGTGGATCAGTGTGCACTGGATTTTCATTCTCAGCTCCCTGGGAGTATGCAATCCAAAATGCTAGAAGGTTAACAGTCCTTACCATCTCATTCTACCGGGTACCCATCAACTGTTGGGTGACCAGAAGCATATTTCGATTGTCAATTGCCTCAGGAAACACAACATGTGCTTCTTTGTGGGGCGGGACTGAAACCCTAGAAATGCCAAGTTGACGAACACTATCACCCGTCCACCTACTCTCCACGACAAATGTTGCTAAGCTTCACCAGATTTGTGACCTGTACACAGGACCATGTGCCACCACCCATATAAATGATTCATTTACTTCATCATAAATCACAGTCTGTTACACCAAAATAGGCTAGATATATTGACTCAAGTTTTGTGCATAGAAGATACCACCAAACTTAAAATTATTAATAATACTAGCAAATCAGGAGCATGAGGCCAGAGCTAGACATATAATGTCCATCTTTGTCACAGTTGTCAAAAATAACTAACTGCACAGTTATGTTCATGTGAATAAACATACTCACCAACAAAAGAAACGCGAATACCATACATGTTGGTTAATATACGATGAATTACTCATATTCAAGATAAATTAAGATTGGTTCCATGCACAAACGAACATACTGTTACGTTGTGTGAACCAACGCTCACAAATGCATCAGATGTGACATCATAGATCCATGACTCGAGATGCACCATTTGTTTTGTGCAGAATTATCGTGTAAAGTGTAAATCATGTGAATATCATGATTAGAATAAAGACACTCTGTGGTAACACTTAACTGATTGTTAGTTTTGTCATTAAGTGGTACACATTAGAAACATCTCTTCTTAACGTACATACTTGTCTATATGTTTCTATGGTTCGCCTTTCTTTTGGAGGTGAGTATATATTGTATTGTATTGCAACTATGTATAACTCAGTTATACTTACTTCTGACCTAATCTACATGATTCACGCTGAATTGTCACATGTGCTTGCAAAGCAAGCATCAGGGACACGGTAAACATCCCAGAACAAATCGGTCTCTATTGGAAGCAGAGGGATTCTGTTTAACTGCAGTAGTACTGCGTTGGTTTAATAGGATTGACAAATGTACTTCACACTTTTTGCTAGCTAGGGAATCTGTTTACATCAAATAATGAGAAAACAGGGGATCACTGGAAATGTCCATGAGGTGTCTGAGTAGCGAATGACGATCACAGACCTACTGTGGGAGGTAGGATCGAGTCTGATGAAACAATCGAAAATCTTTTCTCACAAAATGTAATGGATGAACCTGGGAACTAAATCAGCATTAGAAAAAAGAATCTTTAAAGTACAACACAACCCTTCAAACGACATGTGACCGACAAACAATCTGAATACCGATGTTAATTTCCCCAAACTGACTTTCCTCTAAACCTATCTGACACATAATCCTTCTGCCTGTCGTCAGGTTACATCAAACTGGTCCTCAAAACACTCCCTGGCCATAAACACGCTTAATTTCAAAGAAAAGCATCTCAATACTCTATAATAAAAACAAAATCTTTACCTCTTTAAAATTTGTCACAAGACCTTCAGAAAGCCTAGATGGGTGGAAAAAAAGTGCCCGAAATTCCTACAGTATTCCAAATGCCAACTGGTTCACTTCACCCTGGAGACAATAGGAGAGTGGTAATGTTGGAGCCAGTCTCTACTGGCCTACTTGTCTGGGTTCTGAAGCAGGTAATCATGGCCAGATGGCTGAGGACTGCAACTTGTTCAGGCTGTTTTTCTAACCCTATATTTTCCTGGGGCAGTTTGCCATTAGCAGTAGGAC